GGCTTCCACGAAGCCCGTCCCTGGTGCCAAAAAGGTTGGGGACAGATGCTTTAAACAATGACAACACAGCAAGGGAAAAGCTCTCGTATAGGTTTTGAAGTGCCAGGAGCGCGGGGAGAGGAGAGGGAAGTCCATCTCCGCCGAGGGCGTGACTGCGCGCAGAGAGCCTGGGCGTAGAGGATGCCCCTGAAGGCTGGGGGAGGGGGGCAGTCTGGACCATGGTGGAGAGGCCGCGAGCGCTGCGTGCCACTCGCGGCTGGGAACACCGGAGGGAATGTCGGAGCTAAGCCTGCAAAGGCAAGTCAGGCAGATCAGATTTGGAGGGTGACATGCCAAGAAGTTTAGGAACGGTGAGCCGCGAAAGTTGTTTTGTTTTGTTTAAGCAGGTGGGAGGTTATATATAGATTTATCTTTTATTACTATCTAACATTTGAGGGTCTTTCATTGACAAGCACTGTCCTCCTTGCCTTATATGAATTAATTTGTGATTCTCCTAACAATCCAGTGAAGTGGGTACTGTTATTTCCCTTTCGTGGATGGGGAAATGAGGCACAGAAAAGTAAAGTAATTTTCTCATGGGCACACAGCAGAATTAGGGCCAGTATTCAAACGCAGAGCTTCTGATTCCAGAGCCCCAACCCCTAACCACTATACCATACTTACTGTGAATACAGTCATAAGTAACCCTGTTAAGTCCGGGCTGCTTTGTGATCTGGTCCTACACAGAATCACACTCAAAGAGATACAAGTCCAGCGGCAGAGGTTGGGGCGGGGAATGAAAGCAATTTAAATCCCTACCTCACACTCTAAAGACGGTATCAAAGAGGGAATACACATAATGTAGGCCAAATTTCCTAAAATTTCATTTCCCTCATCTTACTACTTTCAATTTCTCTCGTATGCCTAGCTCATCTCTCCTCCCCCAATTCCCTCAAACCTAACCATGCCTCTCCCACCTTCTCGTTCATCTAAACTGCCTTTTGAGAGGTAATTCTCTCCCTTTTAAAAAGGAATTCTTACTATTCTTTCCAGCTCCTGCTTTTCAAGTTCTTCCTGTCACTGATTAATTCCCCAGTTTCATAATATGGTCAAAGAGAATTTGGAATTGTAATAGGAAGGTGGCTGGAAACAAAGAAAGAAAGCTATGAATATTTATGTACTGATATTTTTCTTGGTCACATACATAACATGGGCTTTTAAATGTTTCAGTTATAAAGTTTTTAGGTATCTGAAACAATACTGGAAAAGTTGGGGTAGAGCCATGAGTTTTTCATAAAACTTTAAATACTTTATTTAAAGAATTATATTTTATTCTGAGAGTTTAGTGTTAAAATGTCCTAACTTTTATGACTGATACTGTAAGTGGGTGGTAGTTTTTTTTGTTTTGTTTTGTTTTTTTTAATGTCCTTATAGCAAAAGACTAAGGGTAAAATTAAAAGTTGCAAACCCAATGTTGATATTCAAATTAAAAAAAATCAAAACTGGTGTATGATATTCGAAAGTCTGAAAATCTCTGAACTAGGGAGAGATGAAGGCAAAATGTTAAGACAAAGGAGATTACAAGTGATAACTGGTTGCTTAGATAAGGAGCTTCAGGACAGTGGTGGAGGTCTGTATTAGTTTCCTAAGACTGCTGTAACAAAGTACCACAAACCAGGTGGATTAAAACAACAGAAATTTGTTGTCTCACAGTTCTAGAGTGTAGAAATCCAAAATCAGGGACATGATCCCTCTGAAACCTGTAGGGAAGAATACTTCCTTGCCTCTTTCTGGCTTCTGGTGGTGGCCGTCAATCCTAGGCCTTCTGTGGCTTGTAGCAGCATCACTCCAACCTCTGCCTCCATCATCATATGGTGTTGTCCCTGTGTGTCTGTGTTTCTTCTCTTCTTATAAGTTCACCAGTCATATCAGATGAGGGCCCACCTAATGGCCTCACCTTAACTTGTTTACATCTGCAAAGGCCTTATGTTCAAATAAGGTCACAATCACAGGTTAGAACTTAAACATATCTGTTTTTGGGGGGGACACAGTTCAATACATGACAGGATGCTTAATCCAATGGGAAAGATATTTTACCAGAGCACCTTGGACTCAACGCTGCTTAAGTGAGGAGTCTAGATTAGGTCCCCAATTCTCAGGAAAGCTACCTTCAATCTTTGAAACTTTAAGAATGGAAGTTACCACCTAGGAGGTGAGTGTAGAAAGGGAAGAGAAGAATGAGGCAGAATAGCGCCCTGAAGAAACCAACTTTTAAGAGGTAAAGACAGCAGGAGGCTCTCGTGAACGAAATGGGGAACGAATAGCGAGAGAAGTCAAAAGGGAACTGGGTGAGGGCGATGTCAAAGAAGCCACAGGCTAAGGGGCTTTCACAGAGTGGAAGTGGTTATCAAAGCCAAGAGCCATAGAGAGGTCAGAAAAGAAAAAGACAAAGAAGCAACGTCTGCAAACTAAGAGGTTATTAATGGCCTAGATTAAAATACTCAGTGGAGTGGGAGGAGGGAAGCCACAGAAGATCGAAGAATGAATAACAAGTGAGGACGCACAGATAACATGTATAGCCTGCTTTTTACAGACACTTGCCCCCAGAAGGAAAGAAAAAACAGTGGCTGGAGGGGAGAAATGGCTGTGTACAGAGCAAGCTTTTCTCATTCTTTTCCAAGGATGAGACTTGAAACATGACTGTGGGCTCAGAAGAAGGATCCAGTTGAAAAGGTAAGACTGAAGAAGCAATAGAGATGTCTTAGTCTGCTTAGGCTGCTGTAACACAATACTAGAGGCTGGGTGGTTTATAAACAACCAAAATTTACTTCTCACAGTTCTGGAGACTGAAAGTCCAAGATCAGGGTGCCAGCATGGTCAGATTCTGCTGAAGATACTCTTGTAGGTTTCAGACTGTTGACTTCTCACTGTATCCTTACCTGGTGAAAGGGATGAAGGAGCTCTCTGGGGTCTCTTATAAGGGCGTTAATCCCATTCATGAGGGCTCCACTCTTATGACCTAAGCACCAAAATACCAAAGACCCTACCTCCTAACACCATCACCTTGGGGGTGAGGATTTCAACATATGAATTTGGAGGGGGACACAGACATTTAAATCATAGCAAAAGAATATGTCATTTGGAAATGCTTTTTGTTACAAGTAGCAGAATATCCGACACAGTGTGGCTAAATGATAAGGCACTTAATTATCTTGCACAAGAAATCTGGGGTAGGTAGGTCTAGGGTTAATTTGGCAGTTCAGTGGTGTTACGGTTCCAGGTAGCAGTTCTGAATTTCTCTTGACTTTTCCTTTATGGTCAAAAGAAGGTCGTTGTACCTTTGGACATTGTGTCCCCATACAACCATGCCCAAAGGCATGAAGCAGGAGGACAGCCAGGATGGGGAAATAGGGCTTTCATTTTACAGGGAGGAAAAGCATCTTGCCCAGAAGCCACCCAGCATACTTGCTCTTAGGTTTCACTGGCCAGAACTGGGACATTTGGTATATTAAGATTACATTAGCTATAGTGACAGAAATAGGCTTTAAAAGTTTATGTTTCTCCCATCTAAATGAACTTTGGAAATGGCGGTCCAAAGCCAGCATGGCAGCTCTATTTCACCACATCTTCAGGAATTTGTAGACTTTGTAGATTGGAATTCGTCCTTCCAGCTCATGATCCAAGATGGCTGCTCCAGCTCTAGCTATTGCATCTACACTCCAGCCAGCAGGAAAGAGTAGGGGAAAGGAATGTTCCCCTCTCCAGAACACATTCTGGAATTGTACATGGTATTTCTGCTTACATCCCACATGCCAGTATTTAGTCACAAGGCCACAGCTAGTTGAAGGAAGTTTGTGAAATGTAGTTTTTATTTAGAATGGCCAAGTGCTCGGGTAATAGTCAAGGTTCTATCACAAAGAAAGAAGAGAAGAGCAGACCGTGGGGGTCTTCTTGCAGGAGGGTGGCTATAGGAGTCTAGGAAAGTGTTTTTGTTTGTTTGTTTTTAGCCTCAGTAATGAGAAGCAGGCAAGGGAGAAGAAGGTTGGAAATGAGAATTGGTGAGTTAACCAAGTAGGCCTGTCTCAGGGCAGGTTGAAACTTGACTGAGCAAGATCCTAGAGGATCAAGAAAAGATGGATTCAGAAGTACATGAAGATTTACACATGGACTGGGGTTGAATATATGTCTATTGCATAGATTATATAATTGTTTATATTCTATAAAAATATATTAAAAAACAGAAAGCTCATTGGACAGCACTGCTCTAGCCTTTTGAAGTTACATTAGAGAGGATGCCTTCATCTGTCACCACTTTCTCTCCTTCACTCCCGCTCCCCCATATCAAACACCATCATTTACCTGGAATCTTAGTATAGCATAGAGGTTAAGATCACAGGATTTAGAATTCAATAGGCATAGCCGTTTACTAGCTATGTGGTCTTGGTCAAATTATTTATTTTTTTGAGCTTCAGATGCTTTGTCTATAAAATGGGGATTGTAATAGCATCTATTTCTTAAGGTTATTTTGAAGATCAACTGAGATAATATATGCAAAGTACAGGCTGTCCCTGCTTTGCATGAGAGTGCAGTTCTGTGAAAATGGCCATGGAAGCTGAAACCCTGCAAAGCGATCTTAATTACTAATGGGAAAAATTACAGTTGTTTTGTTCATGATCTTTAAAAATTTTTGTCAAAATATTTAAAGTTCTCGGGCTTCCCTGGTGGCGCAGTGGTTGAGAGTCCGTCTGCCGATGCAGGGGACACGGGTTTGTGCCCCGGTCCGGGAAGATCCCACATGCCGCGGAGCGGCTGGGCCCGTGAGCCATGGCCGCTGAGCCTGCGCGTCCGGAGCCTGTGCTCCGCAGTGGGAGGGGCCACAACAGTGAGAGGCCCGCGTACCGCAAAAGCAAAAAAAAAAAAAAAAAATTAAAGTTCTCTTACTGTTAGTTTTAAATGTTTAAAGAAATGAAAAAAATAGTAGACTTAATAGTAAACTTAATGTTTATTTGTTCTACTGTAATTTAAAACATTGGACATATTGAAGATGAAAATTAAATATTTAGGGTTTGTTTTGGTTTTGGTTTTGGTATAAAACTTACCAAGAGCAGCTGAGCAGTGTTTAACCTTCTTGCCATATAACTTACTGTAAGGAGTGAGCATCTTTTCTGTGCCTTGGAAAATGGTCATACTCCTTTCTAAGTTTGGATCAGCTTCCCATATTTTATCCTTTGCACTTTTAACATCATAAAATAACCTTTGAGAGTTCCTCTGATATGAATTTTTTTGCCCATGTCATTTCCTCTGGAACATCTCCATCCCTCTCATCACAACCACTTTCCTTATTTATGTTCGTAAAATCACCCTTACTAGATTTTTCTGGCTGCATAGCTAGAGTTGAATAGCAACAGTATCATCCCACGGCCAACTAATTTCTTCTCTAACTTCATTTACCTTTGATTTGAATGTCACTCCCACTATTATCATTTTTTGTTTCTTTGCTAACGTTTCTCTTTGTTGGCCAATTCTATTATCCATTTTTGTAGATGTCACATGGGTTTCTCACTGGGAATTAACGAAGCAACACAACTACATGCTTTGCTGTCTGTACATAAGCCGAATAACAGCTATCCAGTGACCAATCAAGGACAGACTGTCAAAGAAGTGACACGATTGGTCACTCATCATTGATGTGGCTCTGTTATCAGCGTAGTAATTTTGTGGACTGAAAAGCTAGCAGCAAAGTTAGTAATTATCCAATTACTCAGTTGATATACTGTGGTAACAGATTTGAACTGTGTTGTAGGGGGACTGATGTTATTAAGCTACACTGTGGTGACTGAAATTGGTGCTGATGCCACGCAGAGCAAGGACAGTGCTGCGCTTATGAAATGCCTAGCACGTGGTTAGCATTTAGTAAGTCATAGATTGTTTAACTTCTATCATTTTCATTATATTACTACTGTTTCTACCCCTCCTGAGCTACGGGCCACTGAGGAGTCAGTCCGAGAGGGAGGGGCTGGTGCTGGGAGGTGGCAGACAGTGCAGTGTTTTCAGCCAGGAGTGTAAAATGGCCGTGTCCAACGGATGCCTTAATCTCAGTTGAGAACTCAGGCCAAGGGCTTATTGGCAGCAGTCTGAGAAGGGGTTTTGAGGAGTGCCAGCAGGTAGGCAGAGCTCAACAGCAGAGAGCCTAGGCAGGCACTGTTCCTGAGACGGAGGAAGCAGATGGTGTCTGAGAGGTCTGCTCCCAGATCACAGGGCTCCAGCCATGGCGAGAGCTGCGGCCAAGGCCTGGAGAGGGCAGCTGGCCAGAACGAGGCAGGACCCCAGGCCAGGTAGAGCCTACACCAATTACCAGAGGAAGGAGCTGGCACAAAAGCCAGGGAGGAAAAGCAGTCATCTCACGTGGGAGAAAGGGACCCTGTGTACAGAGAGTCAGGTGCAGGAGCGATTGCTGCAGCTCAGGGGGTAGCAGGCAAGAGCCAGAGCAGCTAAGCTCTGGACAAGGAGATGACCCATCACTGAGCCCCACCAGCCAAAGAGAGGGAATTGAGGCCCCCATAGTTGTATTTCCTGCCCCATGTGGATGATCCTGGAGCCCAGCCCTGGGAGACAGAGGCAATAAATAGAGGCTTGTCAGCCTGACCCAGTGCAGTGATTCACTGCTGCTGCACAATGCTGCTTCCCTTCCTTCCAGTCACATTTATCAGCCTTAATAGAGTTTATCTTACCTACTTATCTACAAAGTAATACACTCAGCCAAGGCAGGCCCATTGGGTAAGAAATGATGAACATTTGGCTTTCAACTAATAAGAAATAAACATGGAATAATAATGACTCAGATATACATTGTGTTGACTAATGATAGCACAAATCGAACATGCATATAGATCACATAGGACTGTGTTCAGGCAGATAACCGAAACCTAAGCAAAGTAACTTAACTGCATCCAGGTTTATTTTCCTCACACGGTTAGATGCTCCGTAAGTAGTCAGCTCAGGCTGCTCTGGTGACTCCTGGTGCCATCGGGACTGAGGCTTCTCCTGTGTTCTTGCTCTGCCCTCCTCACTTAACATGTGCAGGGCTGCTGAGTCACCCAGCGCCGGGGCATGGATAGTTTCCATTTGCTTATGAAGATCTACTCTCTACTCTTCTTTAACTTGTTCAGTGCCGTGAGGCTGACCTAAATGTACTACATCACCTGACGTCTCCAGGTCTCTGACTTCCAGCTGGGTTTGGCCAATGGGAGGCACCACCAACAGGAGATTGTAAGGTTGGGGTAATGTACCTCCTAGTCCCTTTCGTGGGGGTGAACAGAGGGCGCTCCTCTTGGGCAGCCCTCCCCTGCGGCTGCTTCCTCCCACTCCTGGTGCTATAGCATCAATTTTTTTTTTTTTCTGGTACGCGGGCCTCTCACCTCTGCGGCCTCTCCCGTTGCGAAGCACAGGCTCCGGACGCGCAGGCTCAGCGGCCATGGCTCACAGGCCCAGCCGCTCCGCGGCATGTGGGATCTTCCCAGACTGGGGCACGAACCCATGTCCCCTGCATCGGCAGGCGGACTCTCAACCACTGTGCCACCAGGGAAGCCCTATAGCATCAATTCGTAACCAAGTTTCCCTAACACTGACTACACCTTTTCAAATAGTGCCTGTTTTAAGAGTCTCCACCATTAGCTCACTGGGGTGGGCCATCTGTGTCTTGCCGGGACTCTGACTGACTCACCACAGCGGTCTCTGCGCACAGCCCGTGGGACCATATGCAGCAGCACGGGGTGGGCCTTTCATCCACAGGGCTGAGAGATGGCGACTCCACCTCCAGGCACCAAGGTTGGGTTTCAGACAGGAGGAAAGGGCAAAAGGCACCAGACAGCTCTTTGCCAGGAAAACAGTAGCTTTCTGGGAAGTCACAGCCAGCCAGCTTCTGCTCACGTGCCGCTCTAGCTTCAGGACCTCTGAGGAGGTGAGTATTTTTAACTGGACAGTTGCCACCTCAAATGACAGAGTGTTTCTATTTGAAAGGAAGAAGCAGAGAGGTTATTAAGTTGTACCAGGCTACCAGTGTTTGAAACAGCATATAACTCATTTGGGCTTTTTGAAAAAAGTTACCGATTGCTTACTGTTACAATTTCTTTCTCTTGTTTATACCTTGGGGTGTCTTCATGCAACAACAATAATAATCACTTCCATGTTCTGAGCCCTTACTGGCTGCATTACATGCATGAGGTCTTTTAACCCTCACAGGAAGCTTCCTCACCTTACAGATGAGGAAACTGAAGGTGAGATTTTCAGGAATGTGTAAGTGTAACATCTCAGCTAACACCTAGGTCTGTCGGTCTGTCTCCAGAGCCCAAGCTGGTAGCCACTACACTTAGGGTGCCCCTTATATCCTACATCTCTTTCTATTCTCATTTCTTCCCCAGGGGAGAATCTGTGCATCCAATTTGGAAATATAGGTCATAGACAGTAAGCCTCTTGCAGCTCAGCACATGGCCCAGCAGAAATAAAGGAGGGGCTTCTCTGGTGGTGCAGTGGTTAAGAATCCTCCTGCCAATGAATGGGACACGGGTTTGAGCCCTGGGCTGGGAAGATCCCACATGCCTTGGAGCAACTAAGCCTGCAAGCCACAACTGCTGAGCCCACATGCTGCAACTACTGAAGCCCGCGAGCCTAGAGCCTGTGCTCTGAAACAAGAGAAGCCACCGAAATGAGAAGCCCACACTGCAATGAAAGTAGCCCCTGCTTGCCACAACTGGAGAAAGCCCACTTGCAGCAACAAAGACCCAACGCAGCCAAAAAAAAAAAAAAAAAAAAAGACTAGTGCCACTGAAGAACTGCATTTTATTTATTTATTTGTTTTTAAACAAACAATTTCTTTTTTTTAAATTTTGTTTTATTTATTTTTTATTTTTGGTTGCACTGGGTCTCAGTTGTGGCAGGCAGGCTCCTTAGTTGCGGCTTGCTGGCTCCTTAGTTGCGGTTCACTGGCTCCTTTAGTTGTGGCACGTGTGCTCCTTAGTTGAGTCTGGTGGGCTCCTTAGTTGTGGCATGCGAACTCTTAGTTGCAGCATGCATGTGGGATCTAGTTCCCTGACCAGGGATCGAACCCACGTCCTCTGCATTGGAAGGCAGATTCTTAACCACTGCGCCACCAGGGAAGTCCGGAGGAACCAAATTTTAAATTTTACTTAGTTTTAATCAATTTAAATTGAAAAACTGATTCATGATTCAGTTATTGGAAAATTTTGAAGTATGTTGGAGCAACCTGAATATGTGAATCTATTTTTTTTTTTTTTTTTTGCGGTACGCAGGCCTCTCAGTGTTGTGGCCTCTCCCCTTGCGGAACACAGGCTCCGGACACACAGGGTCAGCGGCCATGGCTCATGGGCCCAGCCGCTCCGCGGCACGTGGGATCTTCCCGGAACGGGTCATGAACCCGTGTCCCCTGCATCGGCAGGCAGACTCTCAACCACTGCGCCACCAGGGAAGCCCGTGAATCTATTTTTTAAACTGTAAATTTTATCAAATCTAAATACATATCAATTGTTTCTGATGAAGTTTAGTTTGGGAATTGAGATGTGTTGCAGGTGTAAAATACACACCAGATTTCAAAGGCTTCATACAAAACAAAAAGTGTAAAATGTCTTGTTAATAAGTTTTATACCAATCACATGTTGAAATAATGTTTTTGTATATATTATGTTAAGTAAAATTTATCATTAAAATTAATTTTACCTCTTTGTACTTTTCTTAAAGTGACTACTAGAAAATTTTCAATGACAATGTGGCTTGCATTATATTTCTGTTGGGCAATACCACTTTAGAAGGTGGCAGTGAGCAGAGGCAGACTCATTTCTTTATAGGAATGAGGGAGAGAGGCCATTGCTAAATAAATTCCATGATCCCAGGCAAAGTGCTGGCACCATTTCCTGGATTTCTGAGAATCAATGGCAGGAACACAGAACAGCACAGAGCTGGGTGGGGTTGATTCACTGCCTGATTCCTTCCCATGTTCAGTCACAAAACACACCATCTTGAAATTTCCGTCACTATCATTGCCTTGGTCGAAGGGAGACCACAGTTTTTATCTGGGCTTTGATTTGGGGACAACGGCATTTTAATGACTAGGGCATTTTAGGAGAAGCTAGTGGCCAGGAAAGATATTCTTAAAATCAGTATGAACTTAATTTTTTCACTTCTGCCCTCTCAAAGTTTACCTTAGACCCAATGTGTGGTGGAAATTCACCCTCCAAGCATCTGCTTTTCTCCAGTTTGGAATGTTTTCCTCCAGAGCAGCCTTGTTTTTGAAATGATTTGCAGGCTGCCGGAGGAGGCTGCGAGAGGAAGTCTGACCCGCCAAGCCCATCTGGAAGTGGTTTCAGGGGCCACATCACTCAGCCAGCACAACGCCTAGATTCCCAGCTGCCTGGAACAGGGGTGGAAGAAACCCGAGCTGCTCCAGAGTCTGCACAAGCAAGGGAGGTGCAGTGGGGGAGGAAGACTGTCTTGGAAACGGAATATTGGCCTTGAGGCTCTCCGGCCCTTTGAGATTTCCAGTGGGATCGTAGAAGCAGCTGAAGCAGCGTGAAGGGCAGCATCCCAGGGCCAGCCACCATTTGAATGCTCTGCCCTGCAGCTCTTCTGGACGAAGGAGCCCTGCCCTCACCACCCACCAGGTAAACAGACATTTACAGCAGGGTGACGGCCTTTCTGTTTCACCCTGGCCTGCTGGCAGCTGTCCGTTATTTTGCTGTAGATGCAAGAAAGTAAATCAGAGGTGGACTGTCCCATGCAAACCACCTTCAGGCGCTCCAGCTGTTTGTAGCATGCTAGCGGCATCTTCTTCTTCTTTTTTTTTTTTTTTACCATCGCTGCAAATCCAAAATATTCAATGTGCAAGTTTTTCACATCCTGGACTGCTTTTCCAGACCTGGGTTTATGTCCGTCCCCCTACCCCCAAATAGTGTGATTTACTTACTATTTTCATCATATTTTAAGCGTGGAAATCATCTGTTAGCTAGGACTGTATAAATGCTAGCATTTAACGCTGGTATGTTTCTGAGCCACAGAAGATTTAATTGAGCTGTGATTCATGTTTTCAGAACCTGTCCTAGGAAGCTATTCTGAGGGCCCCAGTCCCCCCGCCAAAGAACTGGCAGTTGTATGAAATCTAAATGAGGCTTATTGTAAATATGGTAGTCATAACGGTCGGGTTGAAAATGCTTTTTAACTTTCAAAAAAATGTCTTCTTTTGTTCACTTTATGAGCAAGCGTAATACTTTGGCTAAGCCTGATATATAATTTATGACATAAGTTAAGAAGGGATAGTTAATAAAAGAGTGAGAAGAGAGAGAGGAAGAAAATATGATATCCAAACATCTGAATGTGCTGTGGAAAAAAGTCCGTCCTCTAGCTGTTTGGCCCGTGCAGCCAAATATCCAAAGTGACCTTGGTTTGGTTCGTCTTTTCCTCTGAATGTTTTGGTGTTGCATTTGTACACAGTATCCTTTGCGCGCTGCGTAATGGAATTCCAGGCTTCCATCTAACTCAGTAGAGCAGTGCAGGGCAGTGGTGGGAACATGGGCTCTGGGGTCCGACTCACAGAGTCTGTGCGCTGCCACTTATAAGCTTTATAAACTTTGACTCTGGGTGACTCTATCTCTTCATCTGTAAAATGGGAATTAAGCGACATCATGTGTCTAAAGGACATAATGCAGGATCTGCAGAGTAGTGAGGCCTCAGGGGAGGTCAGCTTCTCTGGTGGTGCTGATGATGACAACGGTGATGGTGAAGGTGACCACACACCCTGCACTGGGCCACAGCCCTGCTTTTGACACATTGTTCCCTCCCATAGTCCAGTCGTCCAGTGTTCCTCACATCTGTCCAAGTTGTCTCTCCAGGGTTCTGCTTCCTTCCTTCTTCTCTTCAAACACCTCTCCTTTTTTTCCACTCTGGCTCTCTTTAGTTCTCCTGCTTCTTCCCTTGCTGAGAGAAAGACATGCTCAGCAAGCCACAGCCCTCACCATTTTCATTCCTAGTTCCCAGGGGGCATGATTCTAAAGATTTCTTTTATTTCAGCGTCTGCCAAAGAATGTTCCAAAGAAGATAGTCCCGTGGGGAAAATACGTTCTGTGAGCCATATCCCCCTCTCAGCACTCTCAAGGCATGATGGCATTTTAAAGGTCCTGAGAAGTCCCGCAGAACAGGGGTCTCCAACCCTCGGGGCTCAGACTGGTACCGCTCCGCGGCTGTTACGAACCGGGCCGCACAGCAGGCGGTGAGCAGCGGGCGAGCTCAAGCAAAGCTTCATCTGCCGCCCCTCACCGCTCCCCATCGCTCGCATTACCGCCTGAACCGTTCCCCCCGCAGCCTTCCCCCCACCGTCTGTGGAAAAATTGTCTTCCACCAAACTGGTCCCTGGTGCCAAAAAGGTTGGGGACCGCTGCTGCAGATGAGAAATCTGCTTAAGTTTGTTGAAGTTTGTTTTTTAACACTGTGATTCCCAGTTGACACAGAGCCATTTTAACACATCATATAGATTAACATCGGCACTCTGCAATATCCTATTCTTTTTTAAAATTTATTTATTTTTTGGCCATGCCATGTGGCATGTGGGATCTTAGTTCCCCGACCAGGGATCAAACCCACACCCCCTGCAGTAGAAGCGGAGTCTTAACCACTGGACCGCCAGGGAAGTCCCTGCAATATCCTATCCTGACCACATGTGTTTTCACCCTGGTTCCTCTCATGGACATCCTACCTTGATACCTTTCCTGGCGAACACCCAAGGGGACATCTTGTTCTCCCTTCCCTGGTTAAGGACAGATGATTGATCACGCATGCCATATTGATATGTAGAAAGTCTGGCCTAAGGTGGGCAGCAGGGATCAGCAAACATTCCCTGCAAAGGGCCAGGTAGGTGGCTCTGCAGGCCAGATGGTCTCCATCATGACGACTCAGTTATGCGGAAGTAGTGTGGAAATGGCCATGGAAAAAACATCAAACAGCACCATCAAAGAATAAGCCTGGCTATGTTCCCACAAAACTGTATTTTTAAAAAACGGTGATGGGCAGGATCTGGCTGTAGTTTGTCAGCACCTGGTCTAAAGCCATGTTGTGAAAGAATGCCTCAATCCATCACAGGAGAAAGCAGGATGGGTCGTCTGCAAGCTGAAGACATCCCCACCCTGCTTATTTTGGTGGATCAGGAGTAAGCCTTTGATGTTCCAGCAAAAAGTAAAAAGGCCAGAGGTGTTTTGTTGGAGGCCAAATTCCTAAGTCCTGGTTTTGTCCTTCTTTCTCTTTTCTTCAAGTGAACCCATGCTCCTGTCCTGTTCATAACTCTGTAGTCTGCCTGGTTTAAGTTGAAGAGCTCTATTAAATGTATTTTATGCCCATGTGAACTTCAGGGTCAAGTCTTAGAGAATACCGTGAAATCACAGAGCTTCTTGGCAGGTCTCTTAACCTCCCTGAACTTCAGTTTCCTCATCAGTAAACTGAGAAGAATAACCTTATAGGGTTGTTGTGAGAATCAAATTAATTAATATACATATAAAGGTCTTAGAACAATGCCTCGCTAATAGAAATCACTATGTATCTCCTTATCATTGTAATAAATTATTTAATTTAACCTGCAAAACAATCCCATTTTACAGACTGGGTTTTGTAAGTTGCCGAAGATTACACAGTAAGAAATGAGGCAGAACCAGGATTCAAAGTCAGCTCTGTCTAATGACAAAACCCATATTTCCACTCAGGTACATGCCCTGCCAGATTTAAGTCGTTCAAAAATACATTTTAGGAGCCCCTCTTTTATATTCCTTTTTGATTCCCAGGTCCTTTCCTATTACCTCCTTACCTGAACCCATGGCAGACATGATTAATCAATCACAGTGCCCTTCCTTCCTTCCTTCCTTCCTTCTTTCCTTCTTTCTTTCACTGAGTCTTGTGATGGCTTTAGACTCCTCAATTTGCCAGTCCTGAAAGCTCCTACCAACTGATTATAGAGTTGGCATGTAAAATAAAACTTATGGGCTCTGATTTTTGGAATACTTTTCTGGAGTCCCTCCCACTTTTGCCTTTCTTCTAAGGCAGAGCTAATCCCCTTAGCCACTGCCAGGTCTTAAGACATTCTTTCCAGGTTTGACAACAGGCCCAAACTCTTCGACATTTGGTAAAACAACTCCCCATGCAAGATCTTCTGGGACCTGTTTTTAAACCTAATAGACATTTCTCTGGTCCAGATCAATTCCCTAAGCTCTCCTTTTTCTTCCTAGTCACAGGCCCTAGGACCTTTCCCCTTTGAAGCTCCAACCATCCAGGGCCTTACCTAGGGATTTCCTCTTTCCAACACTGTGAGATGACTCCCCAGCTGCATCTTTCTTGCTGTCCTGAAGACAGGCCTATGGGCCCTTAATGCTGAAAGCGCGACTCTTTGTTACTACAGGGAAACTACAACACAGAAGTCACTCAGCTTAGGAAAGCTTACAGAGGCTCAGGGGACATGGTTCTGGGGCTCCTTGTGATGGTAAGAGAAAGGCCAATAAGAAGACCTGAGCCCTCTGCTTTTATTTTTTATTTATTTATTTTTTTTTTTTGGGTCTTTTTTTTTTTTTTTTTTTTTTTTTTAAATTTTATTTATGGCTGTGTTGGGTCTTCGTTTCTGTGCGAGGGCTTTCTCTAGTTGCGGCAAGTGGGGGCCACTCCTCATCGCGGTGCGCGGGCCTCTGACTATCGCGGCCTCTCTTGTTGCAGAGCACAGGCTCCAGACGCGCAGGCTCAGTAATCGTGGCTCATGGACCTAGTTGCTCCGTGGCATGTGGGATCTTCCCAGAGCAGGGCTCGAACCCGTGTCCCCTGCATTGGCAGGCAGATTCTCAACCACTGCGCCACCAGGGAAGCCCCCTCTGCTTTTATTTGAAAAAATTATTTATTTGTTTGTTTATTTATTTTTGGCCGTGTTGGGTCTTCGTTGCTGTGTGCAGGCTTTTTCTAGTTGCGGTGAGCGGGGGCTACTCTTCATTGCAGTACGCGGGCTTCTCATGTCGTGGCTTCTCTTGTTGCGGAGCGTGGGCTCTAGATGCACGGGCTTCAGTAATTGTGGCATGTGGGCTCAGTAGTTGTGGCTCACAGGGTCTAGAGCACAGGATGAGTAGTTGTGGCGCATGGGCTGTTCCATGGCATGTGGGATCTTCCTGGACTAGGACTCGAACCCGTGTCCCTTGCATTGGCAGGTGGATTGTTAACCACTGAGCCACCAGGGAAGCCCCTGCTTTTATTCTTGTAGTGGGACCATCAACCTGGCTTTACCCTCCTTCTGGCTTTTTCCTTAGTGAGGGTATGCAGACCCTTTTCTTCCTGGGATTGAAGAACAGAACAACAAGAGCCCTTTCTTCCTCTCTCCTATTTCTCACTCATTCATTCCACACACATTTCTTGAGGCACACAGAGGTAGGTCGGCCACAGTCCCTGTCCTCTGTCATCTCATGGTCTAGTGGAGGAGACAGGCACACCCATGATATTAGAACACAGTGTTCTGAGTGCAGGGATAGGCATAGGAATGGAGATTAGGGGAGCACCCAGGCAGGGTAATCAGGTAAGGCTTCCTGAAGGAGGAGGAGGAGTCTTTAAAGCACAAGTAGCAATTTACTGGGGAAAGAGGAGGGGAAAGGGCATT